AACTGCATGGTATTGGAACAAGAACAGACATACAGACCAATGGAATCGAATAGAAAATCCAGAAATAAACCCACAGATTTATGGTCAACTAATCTTTGACAAAGGAGCAAAGACTATGCATTGGAGCAAAGAAAGTTTGTTCAATAAATGGTGCTGGGAAAACTGGGTCGCTACATGCAAAAGAATGAAGCTTGACCACTACCTCACACCATACACAAAAATCAACTCAAAATGGATTAAAGAACTAGACATAAGACCTGAAACCATAAAATACATAGAAGGAAATATAGGCGAAACACTACGGGATTTGCACATCAAAGACATCTTTACAGACACATCACCCAAAGCAGTGATAGTGAAGAGAAAGATAAACAGCTGGGACTACATCAAATTAAAGAGCTTCTGCACAGCAAAAGAGACAATAACAAAAACAAAGAGAAACCCCACCAACTGGGAGAACATTTTTGCACCCAACACTAATGATAAAGGACTGATCACAAAAATCTGCAAAGAGCTGATGAGACTCAGCAACAACAAAGAAAATAATCCAGTCAAAAAATGGGCAGAAGAGCTAAAAAGAAACTTCTCTGAAGAGGAAATGCAAATGGCCAACAGACATATGAAAAAATGTTCAACATCACTTGTAATCAGGGAAATGCAAATCAAAACTACCATGAGATACCATCTCACACCAGTGAGAATGGCACATATTAAAAAAACTAGCAACAACAAATGTTGGCGAGGATGTGGAGAAAAAGGAACTCTTGTGCACTGTTGGTGGGAGTGCAAACTGGTCCAACCACTATGGAGAGCTGTGTGGAGATTTCTGGACCTACTAAACATAGAGCTTCCATATTATCCAGCAATTCCACTCCTAGGTATTTATCCAAAGGACACAGAAACATCAATTCCAAAGAGCACCTGCACTCCTATGTTTATAGCAGCACTGTTTACAATAGCTAAGCTTTGGAAACAACCCAAATGCCCAAAAGTAGATGACTGGATCAAGAAGATGTGGTACATATATACCATGGAATATTACTCAGCATTCAAAAAAGATAAACACATGCAATTTGCAGCAACATGGATGGCACTGGAAGGGATCATGCTCAGCGAAATAAGCCAAAAAGAAAAAGAAAAATACCGGATGGTCTCACTCATAGCAGGAATCTAGAAAACTTAAATAAGGGACCAGGAAAATGAATATAAGAAAGTGAAAATCAAAATCAACAAAAAACTATGAACCAGAGACAGTTTTTGGGGGGTGGGGGGCGGGAGGGGAAGGATTGGGGTCAGAATGGGGCGTTTGCAATTGTATGGGGGAATATAAAAATAAAATTTAATATTTAAAAAAAAAAAAAAAAATTCCCATCACCAATTCACCTGTGTACCATTCAAATAAGGGATCAGAAAAAAAGTAATTATAATAAAGTAAATATCAAAATCAGCAAAAAAAAAAAAAAAAAAGAATAAGAGACAGAAAAAAGTATAGAAAATATATTTAAAGAATTTCTGAAAGCCATCTCAATCTAGGAAATGAACCATACATTGTGATCCAAGAAGCCCAGAGAGTTCCAAACAAAATAATACCAAACACACACGAAGACACATTATAATAAATCTTGATAGTCAATGACGAGGATGAAATACTAGAAAACATCAAGAGTATAAAGGGTAACCTATAAGGGAATAGCATTCTGACTATCAGCAAACTTTTCAGTAGAAAGACTACAAGCCCAAAGAGAATTTCAGAGGATATTTAAAATACTTAAAGAGAAAGATTCCTCGCCTAGAATTATTTACCTGTAAGATTAACATTCAAGACAAAAGGAAGGATAAGGAGCTTCATTTAAAAAAAAAAATAACAAAATGACAATGAACAGTTATTTTTCAGTAATCACTTTAAATGTAAATGGCCTGAATTCATTAGTCAAAAGGTGTAAAGTAACTGGATTTCAAAAAAATTTTCAATCTTCTTTTATAAGAAACCTATCTTACCAAAAAAGACAAGCAGACTTAAAGACTAGAAGACAATCCTAAGCAATGGCAATCAAAAAAAGTCAGAAACAGCTATACTTACAATGTAGATAATAAACCTTCTATTAAAAAATGGTAGTAGGGCCTCCCTGGTGGCGTAGGGGTTAGTCACAGCGCTGTCAAGCTATTGTCAGCCACTGCAGCATGAGTTCGTTCCCCAGCCAGGGAGCTAACCCACATGGTGCAGCACACCTCTCCTGTCTCGCCTGCTGCTTCCCTCAGCAGTGTATTTCAGTAGATCTGCTTGTTCTGCTCCCCATTCTGTCTCTGGTGAATCCTCTTGCCTTCCCTGCTCCCCATACCTCTGGCCTGTACCCCAGTTCTTGTATACATAAATAAGAGTCTTTACAAAGTAAAAAATAAATTAAAAAAATAAAAAACTGTAGTAACAAGCACTATAAATCAGAGACATTCTGCAGGGCATGAGGAGGCAGAAGGATCAAAACGGGAGGGCAGAACACAAGGCACTATGACGAGGGTCCATGGGTGAATTGGTGGTAGGAATTCTGTGGGGACTAAACCTGAGAGGAGAAAGCAAACATTGTACAAAAATGAACAATGATATATATACAAATAAATATTATATGTTAAAAAATTAAAAAGGGTAGTAAGTATTATGATTAAAGACAACGTATGTATGGACCAAATGATGTAGCACCAAGATACTAATGGAACGAAAAATAGATATTGACAGCAGTAATAGTAGGGGATTTAAATATTCCATTTACAGCTATCGACAGATCAGTAAGACAGAGAATAAATAAGGAAACAGTACTCTTAAATGAGCTGGACCAAATGGGTTTAACTAACATCTACAGACCACTCCACCCCAAAACTGTTGCATATACATTTATTTTCAAATACACATGAACATTTTCAAGACTGGATCTTATGTTGGGACATGAGTCATTTGTGTCCCAACTACAAAGATTGAAATTGAATATATAAGAATTACAATTTATGCATTGGGAGAAGAAAGATTCCATAAATCAAGCAAAATAAACAAAAGTGGGGGATATTGTTTAGACAGACAGTGAATGCCTATATCAAGTAAATTTCAATAGAAAACCAGTAACTGGAGAGGAGAATTTTTGCTTGGGATATAAAAATTAGTCCACACAAAAGGAAATGAGATTATGTATAAATATATTAAATGGTTCTTAAATTAGAATAAAAGAAATAGGAAAACAAGATTGGCAAATATGAAAACATGGAACTACAGTATGAGTAAACATAAGGAGAAATCTGTTCTATCAAAAATATTGCTATTGGGCCTCCCCGGTGGCGCAGCGGTTGAGCGCTGGGTTGCAAAGCTGCCTGCAGCCTATGCAGTGCCGGTTCGATCCCCGGCCACAGGGCGAGGGTCCCACATGGCATAAATAAATAAATGAATGAATGAATAAATAAATAAATAAATCTTTAAAAATATATATATATATATTGCTATTGTGGGCCTCCCCAGTGGCGCAGCGGTTGAGCCCTGGGTTGCGAAGCTGCCCGCAGTCTCTGCAACGCGGGTTCGATCCCCGGCCACCAGGAGAGGCTCCCACATGGCGCGCAGACCTCTCCTGCCACCCGCTGCTCCCCTCAGCAGTGTACTTTGTCACTCTGCCTGTTCTACTCTCCGCTCTGGCTCTTGTGAATTCTCTCACCCTCCCGTGCCTCTGACTGTACCTACTGCTTATATAAAAAAATAAATAAATCTTTAAAAAATATATATATATATAGTAAGCTAAGCTATGGAAACAACCCAAATGCCCAAAAATAGATGACTGGATCAAGAAGATGTGGTATATATACACAATAGAATATTACTCAGCAATCAAAAAAGATAACCACATGCAGTTTGCAGCAACATGGATGGAGCTAGAAGGGATCATGCTCAGCGAAATAAGTCAGAAAGAAAAAAAAACAAAAATACCGGATGGTCTCACTCATAGCAGGAATTTAGAAAACCTAAATAAGGAACCAGGAAAAAGACTAATTAATACAAAGTAAAAAAATCAACAAGCAACTATAAACCAGAGACACTACTGGGGGAGGGGAGGGGAGCGAAGGGAAGGGGAGAGGAAGACATAGGGTCAAAATAAGGGGCAGTGCAATTGTATGGGGCATATAACCAAAATGAAAATGCATACATTGTGCAAAAATGAAAAATGATGTATGAATTATGTAAAATAATATATTAATTTAAAAAAATAGTTCAAAAGAAAATATTGCTAGTGTAAAAGGGTACAATTTCTCTGAATGGCATTTTGGTGGTACATCATGAAGTAAATGTATGTGTGCTTTGACCTGGCAATTTCACTCCTACAGTTTTATTTGTGTACACTCAGCAGTGGAAGGGGATACCTATACAGCATGGTTAGTAGTGGAATGAAGCACAGCTGAAAAAGGAGAAAGATTTCGTGCTTATATGGGAAAATCTCAAAACTAGACTATTACATGAAACAACAGAGATCTAGAACTTTGTTTTGTATATTTGTGTGTGTTTAAGAAAAGGATGCTTAATTTCAACAGAAATAATCTTAAAGGCTATGCAAGACATAACTGGAGGTTACCTTTGTGTTTGTCTTTTTTGCATAGCTTTTATTTTTATTATAATTATAATATAAATATAATTAAAATTGTATTTTTATTTTTACTATAATGTACATATAGTCGTTATCTCTTCCCATAAAAACTAGTTTTGTCTGTTAATAACCTACTATGAACCTGTATTGCCAAAATGTTCATAAAAAATTAAGATTCATTAATGAGTCTTAAATTTATGTTTATATATGAATGTCCATGGTATTTTATGTAAAAATATTTTACTATGAACATGCTTTGAAAATTTTGGATTTTTTTTTTTGCTGTATCATGTGTTTATGAGTTTTATGTGATTATAACCTACTGATCTACTGATAAATAGTTCTTTGTTGCTAATTTGGGTTTTATGTGTTTTTGTTTCTGTTTTTTAGCAAAAAATGGCCCCATTTATGATGTAGTTTGGAATTCTACTTCTACTGAGTTTTGTGCTGTTTATGGTTTCATGCCTGCCAAAGCAACAATTTTCAACTTGAAATGTGATCCTGTGTTTGACTTTGGAACTGGTCCTCGTAATGCAGCCTACTATAGCCCTCATGGACACATATTAGTACTAGCTGGATTTGGGAATCTGAGGGGACAAATGGAAGTATGGGATGTTAAAAACTACAAACTTATTTCTAAACCAGTGGCCTCTGATTCTACATATTTTGCTTGGTGCCCAGATGGCGAGCATATTTTGACAGCCACATGTGCTCCCAGATTACGTGTTAATAATGGGTACAAGATTTGGCATTATACTGGCTCTGTCTTACACAAGTATGATGTGCCTTCAAATGCAGAATTATGGCAGGTTTCTTGGCAGCCATTTTTAGATGGAATATTTCCAGCAAAAACAATAACCTACCAACCAGTTCCAAGTGATGTAACTAGTGAAGAACCTAAAGTTGCAACAGCATATAGACCCCCAGCTTTAAGGAATAAACCAATCACCAATTCTAAACTGGTATGTAAAGTTTTATCACTTTGGTAGGAAATGATTTTTCAGTGTATGGGGTTCTATAGACTTTTCTTATACATATTCTTGTGTTACTTAGTAACAGTGTTACAGGGCAGAGAGAGGGGCACCCCAAGACCCCAAACCTGCTTGCTCTAAATATGTTCTGCCATTCGTTGCATCAAGACAAAACCTAGTCTGGTGCATAAGACCTTTAATGGAAAGGAACTTTGATATAATTACTTTGCACCAAAGAGAAGGGAGAGAATATAGTTTCCAAATCAAGCACCCAAAGTTACCCATCACCTCATGAGTAAAGCCCAGCCAAACAAGGGTTGGCCCAAAAGAGGACTGAGGCCTGATAGCCTGCCACAGCCTAAGCCACCTCCTGGTGGGGCCCCATAGGAAAGGGATAGAAGGGGCCAGACAAGTCTGGAAGGAAAAGAGCAAAATCAAAACCAAGATAAAAGGGCCTCCCTGGTGGCGCAGGGGTTAAGACGCAACCTATGAAGCAATCCGCAGCCACTGCAGCATGAGTTCGATTCCTGGCCGGCCAGGGAGAAACCCACATGGCGGGACAGACCTCTCCTGTCTCCCCACTGCTCCCCTCAGCAGTGTATTTCAGTCCATCTGCTTGTTCTGTTTCCCACTCTGTCTCTGGTGAATCCTCTCACCCCTGCATCTCTGGCCTGTACCCCAATTCTTGTATAAAAATAAATAAATCTTTAAAAAAAAAAAAAACCAAGATAAAAGCTGCCATTGTTAACCTCCCCACAGGTCTCTCTCACACACATCTGTTTCGACCAGTCCAAGACCAAGAAACAAGCCTAACTTCTTCACATCTCTCTCTGCTCCATGTGCCTCCTCCAGGTCTCCTTCTTGCTCTCTATCCTTTTTCCTTCCTTCTCCAGTCTCCTTTCCAGCTTCTTCTCCTTTCCCTGCTTGGTTCCATCCTTCCTTGTGTGGGGCAGGGAACCTGGAACCTCCCTGCTTTCTTGGGGACCACCCTGTATAACAACAGTAAGATATAAACACTAGGCTAGAAGTCATGGAGAATCTACTGCTGAAAATGGCAGCAGCTAATACTAAGTTGCCAAAATAGTTAATTTGAAACAGTTCACATCTTAAGTCTTTGAGAAAGATAATGGAATTGCTATATTGGCTTTGTAGATGGTTCAAATTCAAATGCCTGTCAGGCTAGGCTGGTAATGTTAGCAATGGAGTCTAGAGAGAATACAAAAGGGAAAAATCATGCCATCTTTAAAGATAATGACAGTTACAAAGCAGTTACTGATTGTTAGTGGGAGATTTTAGGCCCAGTTAGCTGAAATATTTGGTTATTCAATATAACACAAGTGTGGATGTTTATGTAAAGTTTTTCAATTTTCGAAACACTGTTGGTCAAGCAAAATGCATTTGTCCTTGGACCATGGTTTCCCCACCTCTGTTATAAAGTTCTGACTACCAAATTTTGACCTGCATTAAACAGTTGTCTTTCAGAGCTCAGGGGAAATCATTTATTAATAACCTGGGTTTCTGTAATGATGTTTTAAGAAGTAAAGTTTCTTTGTAAGAATGAAGAACAATATTTTGGTATTGTTAGAAAGATGATTATATAATAGGCATATACTGGGACTATTTCAAGTAAAATTAATACTTTTTCAAAGGATAAAATTCTATACCTCCCGTGTGCCACATCTCACCCCCACAAAAGCAAAAACAAGATGTAGCATTGGTCTGTAACTTCCTGACCTCATTGAAATCTTGTTTAAACATTTTTTGTTGCATTGTTATTTAGTAAAATATATGAAACTAATATAAGAAATTGAACTCTGTTTATGACATTTATATTTAGATCAAAAAAGGACATAGTAGTCTTTGGTTTTATCCAGTGTTGAAAATTTCTTTACCTAAGTAGAAGCAGAAGCAGCCTCTTTCATCCTACTTTGTAACTGAGTAATGTAACACAAAAGGAAGAAATTCTGAATTACATTTTTTTCACTAAACCATAAAACTAGTTTGTTTTGATGGAGGGGAGAGAATTAATATAGAAGGATAATACTGTGACAATGGTCATACAAATCTAGGAACTTCTTAAAACTGTATTTTTTAACATTTATGATTTTAGCTAAATTTTTGCTTCTGTATGTGATTTGATGACTGTGATCCAAATAGATCCTATCATTTTAATTGGAGAAACCATATGTCAACAAATGAGAATTTTTTTTTTTTTTTATCTAATTCCAGAAATAAGCCAAATAGCAAAGAAAATGCTGTCAAACTACTAGAAACAAAAGCAGTCTGGTCTATAACTTCATAAAGTAGGAGGGTTAAATAGTGGGAATGGGAAAAAAAGGTGTTATTTTATAAGTAAAAATTTATATATAAATTATACTTAAGAAGTATTCCTTGCCTTTCCAAAAACCTTTACTTTTATAATGTGTTCATCAGAGCAGTCCCAAAATACTTACTATAACTGAAGATACAGATTTCATTAATAAAGATGAAATTGTGTGTAATGGGCACATAATACTAAAGTCAGAAATGTATTCATAATCCATAGCAGCTATGTCATTTGTTTTCTTTTTTTGGTCTAAAAGTCTGCCAGTGAACACATGATGCTTGTAAGTATAGAAGAAACTTGTGACTCATCCTTTCATTGCGTTATTTGTAGTTGCTTTGTTTTATTTTGAAGTTCTCATCAATAGAAACTTTTACAGTCAAAGCAAGAGCTGCTATTGAAATTTTCATGTATAGAACAAATATTCAGCAATTAGTATATCTTAGCTAATATTGCATGCAATTAAAAAAGAGGCTTGCCCTCCATATTTATTCTATAGTTGTGGGTTGTCATATATTCCATTGATTCAAGTAGTGTGTATACACACAGACCTCTAATGACTTTTGAAACATTTAATGCACCTACTATTATAAAGTAACTTCATAATAATAGTTTCTTAATTACTATTATTTACTCCTCTTGTTTGAACTTTGTTAATTCCTTTATGGTACTTATAAATACAGTACATATATAAGGTTTAGTACTCAAGAAAGTTCATGAATATTGGGTTCTTTTGATGTACTGAGTATGAGAAAGTCTTAGAGATAGTTAACACTAAGGTAATAGCAATGTAGAGAAAAATTAATAAGGAGATGAATCTGATAAGTTGTATGAGTTATATGTTTCCTAAAAGCCACTCTGGAGATAATTTAGACTAACGATTTAGTTTTTTCAGGTTTATTAAAGTATAATTGTCATATAAAATTGTAAGATATTGAAATTGTATATCACCATGATTTGATACACATATACATTGTGAAAAGATTCCCCCCAGATAGTTAATCAAGACATACATCACCGAATATATTTTATTTTGTGTGTGTGACCCTGTACTTAATTCACTCGCTTTCTGTTGGGAGTGACTATATCAATAACTGATGATGGAAATGATTGTTTTCATTGTATGATTATATCTGACTCTTCATTATTTTAATCATGATTTCTTAGTTGCACAGTTATTTATCCCTTCCAGATTGATTTATTTCTGATAGTCTATTTTAGTTTTCTTCACTTGCTTTGATTCTAAAATTTTCTGATCTGTTATTTTGCAAATAAAGATCTAACAAGTAATTCTTTTTATAACAAAAACAAATGACTCGCAGTAGTCAGATCCAAAGGAAATCAGAAGAAGCTATTGTTGGTATCTAATTTCATAAGAATCATGTGTCAATAGTAAGTAATAAGAAAAATTCTATTGTTTAAACAAAAGTGAAGTGAATTTCACCAGCACTGATATAATTGAAAGGTATAATATACATTACATATATATGTAGTACATATATGTCATATCCTCATTAAATCTACTTTAGAGTGTGCCTACTACTAAGAGTTCGCAATTTTCTTTGGCAGTGATTTTAAAATAAATTTAATAAGTTTATTCCATACTAGCAAAAATATACAATTTGGTGTGTATGTTTTTAAAAACGAATTTCATTTCAGAATCATTTATTTTATGTTTTCATAGCACGAGGAGGAACCACCTCAAAACATGAAACCGCAACCAGGGAAAGATAAGCCGTTATCAAAAACAGCCCTTAAAAATCAAAGGAAGCATGAGGCAAAGAAAGCTGCAAAGCAGGTATTTGGAGAACTAATTGCTATTAGGGAATTAAAGTTAAATACCTAGAATGTCTTTTTTTTTTGTTTTTGCCTATGAGTTACTAAATAATCCTGTATACATACTGGACAATATGTGTGTGTCTTGGGGGAAGTGGGGGACTGGGAACTGAGGAAACGATCTGAATTTAAAACCTGAAACTTTAATGGGATTATGTAGTATGTTATTTTGGTGGAACCTGTGTGAAGTGGTATAATTTGCTTTCTTGGAAACATGATTTTTAAAAGACTGGAAATTTCATGATGGTATCTTATTACTACAGGATTATTCAACTGAGACTCTAAATCCAGTAATACTCAAACAATGGAATTATTCTAAAATAATCTTTTAAATTATTTTCTAGTTGAAAAAACACACCAGTGTAATTACTGACAAATAAATTGTGATTGTGTATGGTGATAGTGAGATGAGTGGGACTGAAAATGCCTGGTTAGAATTCATGGTGACCACATTTCTGAGATTCAGGGAGTTTTTCTTATTGGTAATGCTTGAATTTTGACATTTCTGGATTGTTTCTGTGTTTTAGTAGGCAGTTCCTATTTTAAGGTTTAGAATTACATTATACAACCATATTCTGCTGAAATCTGGACTTTAAAGGAAATCATTGTCTTCTTTTATATTTTATCTCTAGAAATATCCTTAAATAATTCAGGTTTATGTCATTCCAAATATAATGATCTATTCCATCTATTAGATTTGTATAAAAATAGGACTTGTTCTTTCATCAGTGTGTGTAGAGACCTCTGCTAGCCCTAAATATTATAAGTTAGTAGTATTTTTAGAAGATTCCCCCCCTTTTTTTTTGCTGGGGGGAAGAGTTAATATTTTCAGGTATAATTGACAAAATTGTAATTATTTAAAATATACATACATAGCCTCTCGGCCTTTTGGCTAAAAGATCAAGTCTAAATATACAACATGATTATTTGATATATATCATGAAAGTAATTTCACTAAAGAGTTAATTAGCATATCCTTACATATGTACTTTTTTTGATTGTTAAGAACACTTAAGTTCTACTCTTAGCAAATTTCAAATTATACAATACAATATTGTCAACTATAGTCACCATGTTAGACATTAGTTCCTCAGATCTTATGCTGCTTTATAACTGAAAGTTTGAACCCTTTACCAACCTCTCCTTATTTCCTCCACACCCCAGCAATCACCATTTTACTCCTTGTTTCTGTGAATTTGAATCCTTTTTTTGAAGCACCAAAATACATTGAGGCTATTTGCATGTATGTATTATATCCCTAGAAAAAGAATCCTAGGATTTTCTCACCTGTGTGTTTTCATATTACTGCTTCTTTGTCAGTGATGCCAACTTGGTTCTCAGTGCAATGAAGCCAAAGTGATGGTCTGGGAGCAGATTATTCTAGATCTTTGAGTTACACATCTAATTTGGTACTGAAAACTACATACTTTTTTAACCTGTTGTGAGGTTCACAATAATTTTTCCTCCTCTATAATCAATGATTTCAAAGTTGCCAGTGTAACTATGCATCATGGTTAGAAACTGGATTATGACTTGGAGCACAGCCTAATAAGAACCTGGCTCTTGCTTCTCTTTTTGGCATTGTTGATGCTCCTAAAAGCATCAGCCAAGACATTTATGTGCACCATTGTGGCAGCAAAGAAAGATGGCAAAAGAGCTTTTTTCAGATTCCACATATAAGATACAATATTTATCTTCCCTGTCTGACTTGTTTCTCTTAGCATTATGACCCCCAAGTTCGTCCTGGTTGCAAATGGCAGGAGTTCCCTTTTTGTGACTCAATAATATCCCTGTGTGTGTGTGTGCCCGTACATGTTTGCATGCTTTAGCTCATACCTCACATTTTTTTAAATCCTTTCCTCCATTGATGGATACTTAGGTTGTTTCTGTACCTAGCCTATTATAAATGATGCTGCAGTGAATATGGGAGTATAGTTATCTCTGCAATAATGATTTCATATATATATATGAAATGATATATAGAGAGAGATATAAATACACATGCACACACAGAAGTGGAATATCATGATCATATGGTAGTTCTATTTTTTAATTTCTTGAGGAACCTTCATATTGTTTCTATAGTCCAATAGTGGCTATACAAGATTCCTTCTAATTGAGATTAAAGGGTCTTTTGAAACCCACTCTATTTAGAATCCTGTTTTCATTAGTGATGTTTTTTTCCTCTTTATCAGAAGATATTTTTAGTATGATCATCCCTGGTACTGAACAAAGATCTGTTTAATAAAATGTAATAGTTGTTTTTTTTTGTGTTTTTCTGACATTTAAGCACATAAATTTAGGAAGGATTATGAAATCAATGTTTTATTTAGAAAAATCAATTTTTTTTTAAAAGATTTATTTATTTATGCATACAAGAACTGGGTATAGATCGGAGGTGTGGGGAGTGAGAGGATTCACCAGAGACAGAGTAGGGAACAGAACAGGCAGACTGACTGAAATACACTGCTGAGGGGAGCAGCGGGCAAGTCAGGAGAAGTCTGTTGCACCATGTGGGTAGCTCCCTGGCCAGGGATCGAACTTGTGCTGCAGTGGTTATGGATAGCTTCATAGGTTGAGTCTTAACCCCTTGCGCCACCAGGGAGGCCCCTAGAAAAATCAATTTTAAAATCGATATTTTTTTTTTTTTTTAACTTTATGGAGATAACTTTTGGCTCTTTTCGGAAAAAAAGTAAATTTCATTAATGTAAAACATTATTTGTTAAAACTCTTAACCCACCCTATATTACCATACAGTTATCCATGCATGTTAATTATAAAAGATACTACTAATTCATCATTTTGAAGTTGTACTTGCTTGTTTTCTCAGTGTTCTAAAAGGACTTTTCTACCTGTAAGATAATCCTATCAATATCCATTTTTTAGAGTGATGGCTGTCTTTAGTAAAAGTTATGACTATGTGATAGAACAAAGATAGAAGGCCCATGACAGGATCTTACCTTGACCAGACCAGAAAGTTAATATTCTCAGACCCGACTCCAAACTAAGTAACCAAAGAAAAAGGAGTTAGATGTGTATCTTCTACCCAACTACTTATCCACTTTATCAGAGAGTTAACACTAAGAATTTAATCTTACCATACACACCTTTTTCCAGAGAATGACCAGAATTTAAACATATAATTGTGAACATTTTAACTTACTCTCCACCATTTAACTTAATATGGTAGATAATTAAATTTCAGGGCCTCCCCGGTGGCGCAACAGTTGAGCGCTGGGTTGCAAAGCTGCCCGCAGCCTCTGTAGCGCCAGTTCGTTCCCCGGCTGCTCCCCGGCCACCGAAGGAGGGTCCCACATGGCGCACAGACCTCTCCTGCCACCCGCTGCTCCCCTCAGCAGTGTACTTCGGTCCTTCTGCCTGCTCTGCTCCCCTCTCTGGCTCTGGTGAATTCTCTCACCCTCCCGCGCTTCTGACTGTACCCAGTAATGTATAAATAAATAAAAATAAATCTTTATAAAAAAATTAAATTTCATATTTCATTATAATTTTCATAATTATAACATTAACCTTCTTCCCTAGAAGAAAAAATATTCTCAGCTCATTATAAACAACTAAATTTTTTTTTTTTAAATTTTTAAAGATTTATTTATTTATGCATACAAGAACTGGGGCACAGGCCAGAGGTATGGGGAGAGAGAAGATTCACCGAAGACAGTGGGGAGCAGAACAGGCAGATTGACTGAAAACACTGCTGAGGGGAGCAGTGGGAGAGTCTGGAGAGGTCTGCTGCGCCATGTGGGTAGCTCCCTCGCCCGTCCGCAAGGGGTGGAATTTGTGCTGCAGAGGCTGCAGATAGTGTCATAGCGCTGTGCTTAACCCCTTGCACCACCAGGGAGGCCCTTCCTCCTTTAATTTTATATTATGAAAAATACCAAAGTATTATCAGAACTTACAGGCTCCTTAAGAGTAGAACCTAAAAAAGACATAGACTTGGGACCCCTCTCTGCCTAGAGAACTGTCCTGTTGTTATCTGACAATAAACTTGTTTTTAGGTCTTAAAAAAAAAAAAAAAGAGTAGAACCTAAATACTCTTTTCTAAATCTATTAAGGTGCTTTAGCAGTGAGTTTTCACATGGAGAGCAGGGATCAAATGTTTGTTGCATTGGAATGCATAAAAAAGTATTAAACAGAAAAAGTAACCCCAATTTTGTATCCTCTAAAAGCTCTCAGGCAGGGCCTTCCCTGGTGGTGCAGCGGTTGAGCGCAGGGCTGCGAAGCTGCCCGCAGCCTCTGCAGCGCCGGTTTGATTCCCGGCCACCCGCGAGGGTCCCACATGGTGCGCAGACCTCTCCTGCAGTGCCCACTGCTCCCCTCAGCAGTGTGTTTCATTAGTCTGCCTGTTCTGTTCCCTGCTCTGGCTAATTCTCTCACCCTCCCACGCTTCTGACTGTACCCAGTGCTTGTATAAATAAATAAATCTTTGGGGGGGGAAATAAATAAATAAAAGCTCTCAGGCAGATATGTTTCATGTCCCCTGGGTGCTTTGGAAGTTCAAAGTTTTCCACCTGAAACTCTGAAACTCATAAGAAATTTTGAAATCTTGGGACTCTATTTCACTGGGAACTCTGTAAGGGAGAAATAGAAACCATATCTTAGTGTCAATAAATAAAAAATTTTTTTCCCCTCTTGTCATATAGTACATCTTGTTATAATTACAAAGGGCAAGTCACTCTTTTGATTTTTCATTTATTCATAATGTACAATAAAGAATTAATATGCTGGGGGCATAACCAGAACAGTGAACAAGGAAACTTAAGGTGTAGTCTAATGGGGAATAGTAAAATACAGTGTTAGCAGTAGGGATGCATACTACATGCTATACAACTAGTCCAATCTCCAGGGGTTGGGGGAATTTTCCAGGAGGCATAAAGGATAAATAGGGGCGATCCAAATGATCTGAGGTATTCTAGGAAGAACAGAACACACAAAGGATAGGATAAAAGTGTTTGGCACAATAAAGGAAATAAAAGTGGTTTAGTCGGTGGTTCCTCAGTGAGGTGGGATGAGACTACAGAGGTCATCATAAAATGCAAACGGATATCATAATCATATGGTAGTTCTATTTTTAAATTTCTTAAGGAAGCTTCATGTTGTTTCTACAGTTCTATAGTGATCTGATCATATGGGAAGCAATATAGTATCTCATTAAGGAAACCAGCATTTTCTCTTCTTTTTTTAATATTTTATTTTATATAATTCTTACATCATTTTTCATCTTTGCACAATGTATGCATTTTCGTTTTGGTTATATTCCCCATACAAAATAAGGAGGGGGTCCCCCTTATTTTGACTCAAGTCCTTCCTTTCCCCGCCCTTCCCTCTCCCACTCCCCCCAGTGTGTCTCTGGTTTATAGTTGCTTGTTGATTTTAATTTTTACTTTATATTGATTAGTCTTTTTCCTGGTCTCTTATTTAAATTTTCTAAATTCCTGCTATGAGTGAGACCATCCGGTATTTTTCTTTTCTTTCTTACTTCACTGAGCTTCCTTTCTAGCTCCATCCATGTTGCTGCAAACTGCATGTGTTTATCTTTTTTGATTGCTGAGTAATATTCCATGGTGTATATGGACCACATCTTCTTGATCCAGTCATCTATTTTTAAGCATTTGGGTTGTTTCCATAGCTTAGCTATTGTAAACAGTGCTGCTATAAACATAGGGGTGCAGGTGCCCTTTGGAATTACTGTTTCTGTGTCCTCTGGGTAAATACCTAGGAGTGGAATTGCTGGATCATATGGAAGCTCTGTTTAGTAGGTCAAGAAATCTCCACACAGCTCTCCATAGTGGTTGGACCAGTTTGCACTCCCACCAGCAGTGCAGGAGAGTTCCTTTTTCTCCACACCCTCGCCAACATGTGCTGTTGCTAGTTTTTTTAATATGTGCCATTCTCACTGGTGTAAGATGGTATCTCATTGTAGTTTTGATTTGCATTTCCCTGATTACAAGTGATGTTGAACATTTTTTCATATGCCTGTTGGCCATTTGTATTTCCTCTTCGGTGATGTTTCCTTTTAGCTCTTCTGCCCATTTTTGGACTGGGTTATTTTCTTTGTTTTTGTTGAGTCTCATCAGCTCTGTAGATTTTTGTGATCAGTCCTTTATCATTAGTGTTGTGTGCAAAAATGTTCTCCCAGTCGGTGGGGTTTCTCTTTGTTTTGGTTATTGTCTCTTTTGCTGTGCAGAAGCTCTTTAATTTGATGTAGTCCCAGCTGTTTATCTTTGCCTTCACTATCACTGCTTTGGGTGATGTGTCTGTAAAGATGTCTTTGAGGTGCATGTCATATAGTGTTTCGCCTATTTTTCCTTCTGTGTATTTTATGGTTTCAGGTCTTATGTCTAGTTCTTTAATCCATTTTGAGTTAGGAAACCAGCATTTTCATGGCACTGTATTACAGATATGAATTGACCAGATTATAAATGAATTTCTATAGGACTTTTATCCTATAGCATCATCCATTTCATGTACTTGATCATATATACTTATTGTATTTTTGGAGGATATCACAAGAGTAAAACTTCAAACGTCTTAATCAGAAAAACTTTGTCAATCCAAACCATTCATATATAGTGGTACATCTCAAAATATCCAAAAGTTTGAAATGCCTGTTGGCTAATGCAGAAAGTTAATTAGTTAGCTACTCTGCTAGGGTCATTTCCTTGGTATTTTATTATGTTATATGTTTTTTTTTTTTTTAAGCTATTTTAACTTTAAATTCTAGGTCTAGCAAAGTGTACCCTATGATAATACATGGTTAAAACCATTTGTGTGTCTCATACTGTGATCCTTTAAAGCTGCTTTGTTTCTATTATGTGCAATGTAGCATATTTCATGAGACTTTACTTTTTATATAAAATATAGTATAAAACAAAATCAAATTTAATTTTTGCATTTCAGATACCACTGCTATGCTTTTTAAAATACTTTAATGTTTTCATTTTAGAAAATTGAAATTTTGAAAATATTTCCTGCAGGAAGCAAGAAGTGACAAGAGTCCAGATTTGGCACATACTCCTATCCCACAGAACACAGCACGAAATACTGTCTCTCAGTCAACTTCTGGAGATCCTGATATAGACAAAAAAATAAAAAATCTAAAGAAGGTGAGAAACTTAAATTGCAAAAGTAATATGTTTATTGAAAGGAATACATGGGCATTATATAAAGACAGTAATATTTAGGTGTCTAAGAAATTTATAGCAGTTCTCATTGCCACTTTCTCATTATGAAATACTATAACAGGGCACAGATTTTAGTTCTGTTGACAAATATTTATTAGTATTTATTATTGATTTTTGGAATAATAAGTAATGAACATTTCTACAGAAATGGGTTGAACACTACTATAATTTCAGTAGATACTTGTAAGATAAATAGAAACAGATAATTACACCAGTTTTAAAGATGAAGAAGCAGGGCCTCCCTGGTGGCGCAAGGGTTAAGACGTAACCTATAAAGCTATCCACAGCCACTGCAGCACAAGTTCGATTCCCAGCCAGCCAGGGAGCAACCCACCTGGCACAGCCGACCTTTCCTGTCTCACCTGCTGCTCCCCTCAGCAGTGTACTTCAGTCAATCCGCCTGTTCTGTTCCCCACTCTGTCTCTGGTGAATCCTCTCACACACACACACCCACACCTCTGGCCTGTACCCAGCTCTTGTATGCATAAATAAATAAATCTTTAAAAAAAAAAAAAAAAAGATGAAGAAGCAGAGACAGAAAGTTCATTCACTTGTCAAATTGTAACCACTTTGTAGTAGTGGCCCTGGAAATAAAAACAGGTCTCTAGAGCTCTCCCAGGCTGTATGAAGCTTTTCTTAAAACAAAGATATCTTCCAGGTGTAACAAGGTGCTGAGTAAATGATAAAATTGGTGATATATTTACCTACACTTACATGCACATATATATTTATGTACATATATAACAATTAAAAGCTCAAAAAATACTTTGCTAAGTCTCATATTTTTAACATAACCACTTTTACATTGAACTTTAAAAAGTGGTTTACTTTTGTAATTTTAACAGACTATTCTGGATACAAATGTAGGATAATTGATTTCTCCTTATTCATATTTCACATTCATATAATTGAGTTGTTAAAAGAACATCTGCATTTTAAAATGACTTATTTTTTCTTTTCGACTCATAATGTATTTCATTTTTGCAGAAACTGAAAGCAATTGAGCAACTGAAAGAACAAGCAGCAACAGGAAAACAGCTAGAAAAAAATCAGGTCTCTTTTTCATTTTCATTTGAGTTCATAGTTACAACCACCCTTCCCCCTTTTTACTTAAAGGAATTTTTTAATCAGGTAAAAGAACATGTAGATTTAAATTCCCTTCTTTTGAAAACCATATTTTTTTAATGTTTTCTTAACACAGACAGATATTGAGGAGGACATGATATAGATCATGGTGAATGAAAGTCACTCTTCTTAAGATGTGCTAATGTTATTGCTGCTGAAAATAAAGGCAGTTTATTATGTTAGACAAATATAAGACTTTCTCTGATGTTGCACAGTCCTGTTTACCTCCTCCTTTCTTCAGCAGTTCCAGGATCAAGTATAGGATAGAAAATGCTATAGGGTACCAAAAAGGATGCCCTTTGCTCCCTTTATTCTGTTATCTAGATAACAGATTGAAACTTGTTTCTAATTATACTTTATTAACCTGTATTTACCAGTAGATCTGAAAAGTATCAAATTTTTTAAAATTATTTCTCCTTTTCTATTTTGCTACATAGCCAATAATTATTTCATTTTCTATCTAATAACTTTATTGTTTTAAACTTTTATAGTTGGAGAAAATTCAGAAGGAAAAAGCCCTTCTCCAGGAGCTGGAAGATTTGGAATTGGGTATTTAAAGATTCACAAACAGCAAGTTGGTTACCAGAAATCAGTGCAAACACATTTTCTGTTAAACCCATGGGTGTACCTGGAATATCCATGTGTCCACAGTTAATGTTTATCTGTAATTATAACCCTTTATCCAAGATTCTACAGAGTGTGACATTATTTAATAATGCCTATTAAATTGATTTTTTCCATCCTGTATCTTGAATTAATGTCTACACATGGTATAATAAAGAAACATGGATTTTTTAGTTAAACTTGATATATTAAAAGTCAAATGTTTTTAGTAGGGGACAGAATTTACCATATAAATAAATAAAGGCATTTTAAATTTAATCATTTTGTCTCTAAGTTTCTCATTTGAGAAATCTCATATTAATTTATAAGGCAAGTTAGGATTTTTTTCTGTTGAATACGTAGTATGGGTTTCCTGATCCTAAGTCATTGTTGTTAAAACTTTAAAAGCCGGCCTCCCCTGGTGGCGCAGGCAGTTGAGTGCCACACTGTGAAGCTGTCCGCAGCCTCTGCAGCGCTGGTTTGGTCCCGGCCAGCCAGCGAGGGTCCCACATGGCACAGCAGACCTCTCCTGTCTCACCCGCTGCTCCCCTCAGCAGTGTATTTCGTCAGTCTGCCTGTTCTGTTCCCCACTCTGTCTCTGGTAAATCCTCTCACCCTCCCGCGCATGTGGCCTATACCCCAGTTGTATAAAATAAATAATCTTTAAAAAAAAAACAAAAAACTTCAAAAGCCTTAAAAATCAGGTTGTACTTAGTATATTAAGTTTATATTGTTTGTAGTATTTGAAGTATAGTTTTTCTGATTAGTTTTAAAGCAGGTATAGACTTTAGAAAGCAGTAAATCATTTTATTTTGATATTTTAAATAATAAACCTGTGATGTAAGAATGAAGTAAATATATTCCAAACATGAACCATGACTTTTGCTCTAATCAAATCTTATTTTGATAATCCATTCGTATGATGACAAAAATGTAATCATAATCTAAGACACTCCGCTATCAAAACTAATTTATACTTGGTATTAGAGTCAATTACAATTAGTTTTTCATCAGGTTTACATTGATATTTTTATTTCATTTGCATTGATACAGGTTTCCATTTTCCAGAGCTAATATTTAAACTGATAGGTAAAAGAATTCAGAAATACCTTAAGAGAGACAAAAACAAATAACTGAATTTACTGATGCCCCAAAACTTCTGATTAGATTTGGTAAAGACCTAATGCATGAAGAAGTGAATTACGGGCCTCCCCTGGTGGCGCAGCAGTTGAGCGCTGGGCTGTGAGGCTGCACGTAGCCTCTGCAGCGCCGGTTCGATCCCTGGCCACCGGTGAGGGTCCCATGTGGCGTGCAGACCTCTCCTGCCGCCCGCTGCTCCCCTCAGCAGTGTGTTTCGTCGGTCTGTCTGTTCTGTTCCCCGCTTGGCTCTGGTGAATTCTCTCACCCTCCTGTGCTTCTGACTGTACCCAGTGCTTGTATAAATAAATAAATAAATCTTTAAAAAAAAAAGTGAATTACATTTTAAATGTTTTTCATGTGGAGTGTATGTGTGCGCATTTATGCCTACTTGTGTGTATAATTGCTTCAATATTAGCTTATTTCTGATAATAGAAACATAAGCAGATGAATTATTTTTACAAATATGTTACTTTGAAAATTGTTTTTCTAATAAAACATTCAACAGTGCATCCTGAGACAGTGTAATATATTTTGGCCTGGTAGCCTAATTTTTTTTTAATTACCATTTGTAGTGCAGTTTATCGCAAACCTGTTAATCAACTATAAAATGTTTATCACAGAGGTGTTATCTCTGGACCTTCAGGTGCTTTTTAATTATTACAGTGGCTGTTCCTGTCATAAGTCTTTGACTCATTTTTTATTTTAAATATCCTCTGGGGAGAAAGAGTAAGGTGATAGAACAAAGATGTAAAGTGATAAAAGTCTGCTTGAAAATCAAATTTAAAATATTGGGTTATCAGAAAAGTCATGGCATATTTTTTTTGGAAAAAAGTCATGACCTTTCTAGCAACCCAATACATTGCTATATTCATTATAAAGGAAAATCTATAAATTGCAGATTCTCAGAAAAATGTCATAAACATCTCAAAAGTGTATTTGGCATTTATCATAAGTATTTCTGAAGAACATAATACAAGTTTGAGGGGAGGCAGTTCCATAGACAGAAAGACTGTCCTTATCATTTATGAGTTAAACACATTTCCCAGAAAAAGATGCAAACCCAACTCTCTACCCTGGAAAAGAATTCTATTAGAAAATCAATAGAAATAGAATTTATGTCAAAATTTACTATGTATGTTGCCAAATAAATTTTTTTCAAAATAGTGCAATTTTTTCTATAGACACATGTAAGTATATAAACTTACAAAGTTTGGTAAAGGTGTACCCTGAACTAATGATTATGACCACTAGGATGGAGACCAGTAAGGTTAGCTCTATTTGTAATGTTTGATTTTTTTTTACATAAAAGGATATAGCTTTGTATGATTTTATAATAATTATCAACTAAGATGCTTCAGAATAGAAAATTCTCTTAGTTCAAGATAAGGGATCAAGCTTATAATCATTGGGTAGGATTTATTCTTTGAACAGCATCACCTGATTTTGGGTAGAATTTGTTTATTTGAACAACGTGACCTGATTATTGAGGCACATGAGAGGGAGGTAAATGTCTAGAAAAATGTCTTTTTTGCTGATGAATTTTAATAAGTAGATTTGGAAAATCCGTGTTCTCCTAAATGTCTAGTAAGTTGCAATTCCACATTTTATCCTAGCATATTACCTGACAGAAGAACAAAATGAGTTTGATTCCAACTTTACAATGCTGATTCACTTACAATTTTTATGATTATTGGGAACCTGTATGATTTTTCTATAAATATATGTAAAAAAATATGTAAATATACATGTGTATATGTTTAGAACTATAGGGCTATAGGTATATCTGTATATAGAAAACTAAGGCCATTATAATGAAGGAAATTGTCAATACCTTAAAGCTAGGATATGGGATTGGATCTAGACAATCCAATGCTAGGCCCTGGGCTCTAGGTCCCTATGATGCATTGCTTTTGTTTCCTTAAATAATACATCCTGTGCTATTAGTGCAATTAAAAGATAGCTCTCCCTAAGCATGATACTGGGTCATTATATATACTTAAATTTTCATAGATACTGCTAAATTGTTTATACTTCCACCAAAGTTTTCTATAGTCTTATGAGATGATACAAGGCTTTTGAATTTTTACCCAATTATGAGGGGGGAAATACTTTTTGTTACTTTTTATTTGGGGTGGGTTCTGCATTTTCTACATTTAATTTTTTTTTAAGATTTTCTTTATGCATACAAGAACTGGGGTACAGGCCAGAGGTGCTGGGGGTGAGAGGATTCACCAGAGACAGTGGGGAACAGAACAGGCAGATTGACTGAAACACACTGCTTAGGGGAGCAGCAAGCGAGTCAGTAGAGGTCTGCTGCGCCATGTGGGTCACCTCCCTGGCCGGGGATGGAATTCATGCTGAGTGGCTGTGGGTAGTTTCACAGGTTGTGTCTCAACCGCTTGCGCCACCAGAGAGGCCCAATGGTTCTTTTTTTTTTTTTTTTTTTTTTTTTTTGAGTGAGTTGCTTTTCCTTTTTCTTTGCCCATTTCTCTTATTTGGTTATTTGGTTGCCTTATTAATTTGTAAGAGTATCCTAAGAGTTATGATTTGCTGCATAAAATCCTCTTTAAAAAAGTCAAAGTAGTAATCATTGCACAGAACTTTTTTTAAGAAAAATTCAAGCAGTTCAAAAAGTACTACAAATGAGTAATCCCTCCTCTATCCTAGGGATAATAATTACCAGTATTTTGTATATAGTTCTAAAGATACGTAGCATAGGTATATTCAAGTAAATGTACACACACTTTAAAAAAAATAATAGCATATACACACTGTTTTGTGCTTTTTCTTACCTTAGTATTTTGAAGATGATTTCAATTGCCATATATTATATATAGTTCTCTCTATATAAAGCTTTACGATCACCCATATGTGATGAAGTAAGATATAACCAGCTCATCCTGGAGAATATTGGGATTATAAAATGTGGATTAAACATATGTATGTGTTTAAAAACAATAAAGTGATGTTTATCTGTTCTGGGATTAAGTTGCATGTTTTTAGAAATTAAATTAGGACACACTGAGGGCACAGAAGGAAAGTCTCAGTTGCCACAGTTAGAGCTTCTGCCACAGCAGTCTGGAGCTGCAAGACCTTCCACCTGCCTCTGCTCAAGTGGCACCACAACTTTGGATAGAGAGTAGAAGAGGTCCCACGTATCGAGAGCAACATACTACCAGTATCCCAGGGATAACTGACACAAGGATGAGAAGCAGCTACTTATTCTGGATAAAACCAGGTTCCTCTTATGTGATCAGGTCAATATGAATGAACTCATCGAGATAATTAGACAATGTTTATGGCTCAACATTAATCCAACCTCCTTTCTGTTAGTGAACATGCACAGCATGGTGTCCATTGCCATTTTTGAAGTATATGAAAGCGAAAAGAATGAAGGTAGCTTTCTATATATGGTATATGTCTTTCAGGAGACATTTGTGATGGAATTGTCAGTGTAAGACTAGAAAAAATGAGTGTTTTAGAATTTTAAAAACCCTTACCAAGGAAAAAGGGAATGTTACAAACTGAGATGGATCAGTTCATCTAATCACAGATCATCAAAACTGCCCCTGCCTAGGAGTTTTAGGAAGCTGTTTTCATACTTGACACAGGAAACCTTAGCTCCTAATGAACACATTCAGCTTTGTAAAACTATTGTTTAGACTGTCTTGGTTTCAAATTTAGAAATTTTAAAATGCTTTGCATTCTATAAAAGAGGAAATTCCATGGATGCTCATTGTACCTGGTGGTCATTTTTTAAATTATTTCTTTGAGTTAGTAAAATACTAGAAAAACAGAAATATTAAAAAATTCTTTTTTTTTTTTTTTTTTTTTTTTTTTTTAAGATTTATTTTGTTTTATTTATTTATACAAGCAGTGGGTACAGTCAGAAGCGCCGGGAGGGTGAGAGAATTCACCAGAGCCAGAGCGGGGAGCAGAGCAGGCAGAAGGACCGAAGTACACTGCTGAGGGGAGCAGCGGGCGGCAGGAGAGATCTGCGCGCCATGTGGGACCCTCCTCCGGTGGCCGGGGAGCAGCCGGGAATCGAACCGGTGCTGCAGAGGCTGCGGGCAGCTTCACAACCCAGCGCTCAACCGCTGCGCCACCGGGGAGGCCCTAAAAAATTCTTAAGTGAGATT